TGACCCACTGACAAACTCCTCCCCACCCTAAAGAGATACATAGTTCAGGACAATGGGTCTCCCAAGATTGATCTCCTCAACTGGGATTAACCTCATCCACACCCAGCCTCCCTTCCCTGCACCCATTTACCCTAATTATGCAACACTTAATGTTATTTACAAAACCCGGTAGTTTTCCATCCGGTTATCAGAGGGTCATGAAGCACCATTAGCACCTATAGTTCACCTCAGGTAAACTCATCAAGGTTTTCCAAAGTAATTGTTCAAGTCTGAAAAACTCCAAGTCATTGTTTCGGGGGCAAATGTGTCAGACTGCCCCAGGGAGCATTTCCCCCTATAATTGCAGAATGCTGCACCATAGCAGAGAGTGTGTGTGTGTGTTCTCAGCACCATACCTCACACTCCCAAATCCATTTGGGTCCTCTCTTCACCCTGTGAAACTGGTCGTTTCACTGTTTACTCTGTAGACCTCACTCTCAGAGATTGGTAACTATCGCCTTCCCTGAAATCACTTTCTCCCATTTCCTCCCTTTTTTCCTTGCAGTTAGTTTGTGTGTTTTGTTTTCACATTTGTTTGTATGTGTGTTTTGCCCTTTAATTCCTATTTCAATAAAACCCTTTCCAGTTGAACTTTATTTTGAGAGTTCTCTGAGGGAAAATTCCCTGTAAACATAGAGGATCCCAGTTACCCCCTCTCGCTATGTCTCCTTTAAAGCTAATTTCCCACAATTAATTAGGAGACTGCCTCTTTGGGTAACATGTCCACCATACCTTGTCAGAATTCCAAAGGTGCCAACAGACTCAGAAAGGTTGGGGATCTACCACACTAAACTCTGAAGCTAGGATTTGAAGTTAGTTTATTACCCAGAGTCAGTTCAGTTTTTATTCACTTCATTTTTATCCCACATCTATCCCAATAGGAACACAATGTGGCTTACATAATTATCCTGTGCTTCACCTTAACTATGGTTGTAGTGCCAAGTCCCCCCTGGCTATTGGCAGGGATGGAGGAGTAGGTTTGCCAGATCAAGGGTGGGAAATTCCTGGGGTGGCAGGGACCTCAGTGGGGTACAATGCCTTAGAGTCCACCTCCAAAGCAGCCATTTTCTCCCAGGGAACTCACCTTTGTTGTCTGGAAAGAAGGTAGGGGATCCCCAGGTCACACCTGGAGGCTGGCATTACTAGGTTTCATCCCTAAGGTTGAATGCACATATATCCTAACTTAATATGGAACCAACTCCATTTTGAAAAGCTTTGGAAATCATGCCATGTGGGAATCTGCTGCTTAGAAGATCTTGAGCCATGCAGCACAGAAATGCTTCTTGCATGAGAAATCTCATCATTTTGTACGTATAAGACTTTTGCTTCGCACTTAGTAGCAGAAAGGTAAAAGCCTTAGCCTTCCCTCTCCTGGGCTAACGGCAGGCCTCTGACAAGCTTCTCTCCTACACAAAGGCCTGGGCCATTGCTGTAAATGTTCCCTCTGGGCCTACATTTTCCCAGATATTCTCTGAGCCTGGGTCTGAGTCTTGTAGAACTGGACGGAAAGATTGGCCAATGGCTACACTAGGGTTGCCAACCTCCAGATGGTGGCTGGAGATCTCCCAGATTTACAGCTGATCTCCAGCTGACAGATCACTTCCTCTGGAGAAAATGGCTGCTTTGGAAATTGGTCTCTATGACATTATACCCCGGCTGAAGTCCCTCCCCTCCTCATCTTCCCCAGGCGCCACCCTCCAAAATCTCCAGGAATCTCCCAACCCAGAGTTGCCAACTCTAGCTACAGAGAAGGGGAAACTTGGGAAAGTTAATAAGGCTCTCCCAAAGTGAGTCATTATTGTTCTCCCAGAAGCTGAGTTGCTACTAAGAGCGGGAGACAGCCCCTCACCCCATATGCTTCATGCATGGTTAATATGGTTGCCAACCTCCAGGAGGCACCTGGAGACCCACCCACCCCGCTATGACAATTGATTTCCAGATAGCCAAGATCAGTTCCCCTGGAGAAAATGGCTGCTTTGGAGGGTGGACTCTACGGCATTACACCATACTGAGGTCCCTCCCCTCCCCAAACCTTGCCTTCCTCAGGGCTCCACCCCCAAAATCTCCAGGTTGTTCCCAACTCAGAGCTGGACACCCTAATGACCTGGCTGGTTGCAAATGGGCAATGCACTAGTTAGCTGATCAAAAGATAATGTGAAAAATAAGGAAGAAAAGAGAGGCAATGTTACAGCTTAAACTGGTGGTGGTGGTGGGGTCTTGGTAAATTCTGCTGTGCTCAAAACCATCCATGCACATCTCTGGTTATATTTACGGACCAGATCGGATTATGCACAGTAGCACATTATGCTACCAGTAGAAAATGCCATCAAGTTGCAGTTGACGTGCCATCCCCTGTAGGGCTCTCAAGACAAGAGAAAACAGGGCTGGCTTGCCATTGCCTGCATCTGTGTGGCAATCCTGGACTTGCTTCGTGGTCTCCCATCATAGTACTAACTAGGACCAACCTTGTGTAGCTTCGAAGGTATAATGAGATTAGGCTAGCCTGGGCCATCCAGGTCAGGGTATCAGTAGCAAACCACTTTGGTCTTCAGGCCACAACTAACAAAAGCAGTGGCATTATGATATAATTGAGGTACAGATGTCTGAACAGTGACTCAAAGTCTGGCCCACAAATCCCAGCAAAGGAGAGAATCAAATGCAGCCCTTGGTTGGTTGTCTCCATATTAAGTTAGGATATGTGCATTCAACCTTAGGGATGAAATAGTGCAGAAAAGGGCAACTCGAATGATAAAAGGCTTGGAACACTTTCCCTATGAGGAAAGGTTAAAGCGCTTGGGGCTCTTTAGCTTGTAGAAACGACGACAGGGGTGACATGATTGAGGTTTATAAGATTATGCATGGGATAGAGCAGGTAGAGAAAGAGGTACTTTTCTCCCTTTCGCACAATACAAGAACTCGTAGGCACTCCATGAAATTGCTGAGCGGTCGGGTTAGAACGGATAAAAGGAAGTACTTCTTCACCCAAAGAGTGATTAACACATGGAATTCACTGCCACAGGAAGTGGTGGCGGCTACAAACATGGACAGCTTCAAAAGGGAATTAGAGAAGCATATGGAGCAGAGGTCCATCAGTGGCTATTAGCCACAAGGTATAGATAGGGACTCTGGGGCAAGTGATGCTCTATCTTCTTGGTGCTGGGGGGGGGGTCAACAGTGGGAGGGCTTCTAATGTCCTGGCCCCACTGGTGGACCTCCTGATGGCACTGGTATTTCTGGCCACTGTGTGACACAGAGTGTTGGACTGGATGGGCCTTTGGCCTGATCCAACATTGGTGTCTCTTATGTTCTTAAGTGCATAAAGGCTACACAAAGCATGCCTATCAAGTGGACTATATATACTTCTCTGCCAGATGGAGAAGAACTGAGCAATTACCTAAGATTGCACGCCCTCTTTGGGATCCAGCTTACTTTTTACCCCAAAACATTCTCAGTCTCCACGGCAAATTTATTGCGATTTGTTCCCACTATAGATTAGATTGGGAATATTTTTTTTGGGTTGGGATGATCACACATCCCTCCCCTAACCACAAGCTCTGGGCACCGTCCAGATAGCCGCATGGGGCAGAGCAAGTTTAAAAAAAACAAAACCAATTGCTTTGCCCATGCACATACGCACATGGCTGAATCACCGCTGTCTCCCTTACGGTCACCCGCCAAAAGGCACTGAAATGTCTCAAGAGTTTCTTCTTGCAACAAGTAAACTGGGATGCACTACCAAGCACTGGTGTCTATAGATGTGTGCTTGATCATTTAAACGTTGAATTTATTTAGTGCAGGATTGCTCATGCGCTCAAAGGTGGAAGCTGGGGGGGAAGAAAACCTCACGCGATGAACGGTCAGACGACCCTAATTGCAATCATTGCGAGAGATGGCTGCCCAGATTGGCAAAATTGCAGATTCAAAGTGCAAATACTCGAAAAGTACTTGATTTTCCCGGTGCAGGAAAATACAGGAGAGAAACGGGAGCATTGCGGGAGTGAGTCCGCTTCGGTGCAGGAGGCAGATCAGCCTGCCTGGCAGTCACCAATTTTAAAAGCAGGAGGAAACAGCAGTGAAACGTGATCAAAACGACCGTGTGACCACAGCCAATAAGAGGTGTAACGTTTCCCAGTCGAAGAGAGCAAAGCTACTGAGGTGGCAACTGGATGGCTCAGACCTGCATCGTCTCTTGTAAACAGGCACAACCACCCCCTGAATCCAGGGCTCTGAAATTACACCTGTGTCATATCTACCTGATGATCATGCTCCAAGTCTCCTCCTTCCAGGTTCTCCCTGTCAATACACTCATTTCCAAACCTGCTTTAGTCTGATCTTTTAGAAAAGATCACATTAAGTGAAAGTAACGGTTTGCATTTCCCTGCCCTGGAAAGGTCCACTCACAGGTAGGGTGGAGATTTCCCGGAATTACAACTGGAGAAAATGGCTGCTCTGGAGGGTGGAGTCTATGGTGGCATACCCCACTGATGCCGCTCCCCTCTGCAAGCCCCACCCTCTCCAGGACTGACCCCCACAGATCTCCAGGAATTTCCAACCTAGAGGTGGCAACCGTAACTTGTGTGGGTGCCATTTCCCTGCTATTAGTACCTCACAGCTGTCATTATTCTGGCTGTACCAGAGGCTCTTTTTTAAAAAACAAACCCTTGTACTGACTAGTGACTACAGTAATTACCGGTCTCTAAAAAAAACGTAAAAACCCTCTGGGTGTGCAGCTGGAAAAGAAATGCTGGGAAACTGGCAGCCAGGAAGGGCTGGCAGAAGAAAGCATTCATAAGACACCTATGTGGAATTTCTGTTGCCAGCCTCTGGATTCTGGGGTTCGGCTAGAAGTGGTTGAAAGTCTCATCCACCCCAGGAGAGGTCTTCATTTCCCCAGCATCCCACCTCCAATAACCAGGCACATAACTCATACTGTTTACTCTTATTTTTTTTAATCGTTAGCGTTATTCCATATCAGTATTGATACTTCCACAGTCCTGGTCAGCGTCCACCAGCGGCCGAGTGTCCAGGTTCCCTTGGGCTTCCCTCTTGTGGAGGCAAAGTCTCTTCTGATAGCCGTTGTAGAAGCAGAAGCCCAAGGAGAGCACGGCAACCACAGCCACTTCCAGGAGTAGGGCACCAACAGCTGGCGGCATCACATTGTGTTTCCCACCTGCCAGGAAAAGATCAACCGATACCATTTATCCAATGTGGCAGGGGCCAGGCAGCAGTCAAGATGTGGATGATGGGATCAGTGGGTTGGTTGATGATCAGTGGGAGCAAGTGGCACTAGAGCTTCTAGAAGCACAGCCTTCTTTCTGTCTGTGATAGCGTTAGGACAGGAACAGCAAAAAAACCAATTAGCTGTTACATGGGGACGGGTTTTTACGGTTCTCCTGCTGTGGCTGCTGATACAGTGCAGTAGTAGCAGGGCTTCCACACAGCAGGCGTCCCCAGGATTTCTACATTGAGAGACTGACTGAATAGATTTATACTGATAAATCTATCTGTTTCTCTGAATTACCAGCATGCATTAAAAAAAATAATTAAGTCTCTAGAGATGTATGGGGAAAGACAAAAAAAGAAAGGAGCTAGAGACTTTTAAAAAATGAAATCTGAAAATTCAGGAACATGGCATATTGGTAAAAGGAGAAGAGTTGGTTTTCATACCCTGCTTTTCTCTACCCTACGGAGTCTCAAAGCAGCTTACAATTGTCTTCCCTTCCTCTACCCCACAACAGGCACCTTGTGAAGTAGGTGGGGCTGAAAGCATTCTGAGAGAACTGTGACTGGCCCAAGGTCACCCAGCAGGCTGCATGTGGAGGATTGGGGAATCAAACTCAGTTCTCCAGATTTGGGTCCATTGCTCTTAACCGCTACACCATGCTGGGTCTCAGCAGTATATTAATATAACACTATTCAACCACCAATTAATTAAGAGAAAACAAACCCAGTGACACGGAGATGAAATGGCTGTTGCAGGGAAAATGGCTACCATCTATGCGGGCAGGGTCTTTCCCAACCCACATGGCGCCCACCCAGGCTTTGCAGTGATCTTTCTTAAAACTTCAGAGCAAAGCAGGTTCAGGAGAAAAGCTACGGAAACCTGGGATGTAAACAAATGCACCCTGATGCTACAGAGAAGCAGGAAATGAGGTCTGTGCAGGATGCAAGCAGCAATATGGGTAGAAGCTAACCCAGAGAGTGCAGCTGCCATTTGAAGATCAAATCTGGACCAAAACAACAAACATAGAAGTGATAGGACATTCAGGGGTCAATATACTTATGAAGAGACTATATATTATTACTGTCAGATAATGACATCAAGTACTAATTAAGAGTACCCAAACGAGTGATTCTAACCTCAGGTCTGGCCAGCATGTCAGAACCTCATCAGAAGGGTTCTGGCTTTGCAAGGTCTAAGGGGTCAGGAATATGCTGTCATCAGTGTTTCATACGATTCATTTGACATTCTTGGCTGCCTTGCACGCAAACATACTACCCAAATTAAAGTATGGCAATAGTCCCAGTGTAGAAAGGTATAATTTGCACTTTATGATAAACTCACAGGGGAACTAGAAAGAATGGAAGAATTGCAGGCAATACAGAAAGTTCAGAATCTCAGGCTGGGTGAAAACATTGATCACTGTAGAGAAATCAAGTGGAAAGTTACAAGCGTGTCCAAATTCCAGAAGCTTAAACAAGTCTATCAAGCAAAAGTATTTTAATTCCCTGTGAGCAAGGAAATTATGGCACAACTTGGAAAAAGCTCTTTTCCCAGCAAATTCAATACCTCTTCAGGCTTTTACATTTACAATTTACAAAGGATAGCTCAGAAATCTGAACATTTGATATTCCCTTTGGAATATTCTCTTTCTACAGCTTCCATTCAGCATAGCCTCAGCTCCTGAAGTATACCACAAAATGATTCAGCTGACATGCAAGCACACTGATGGACAATATTGTCTGGGCTCTACCAGAGAGAACTTGATATAAAGCTTTGGAAAGTCTTATTAAAAAGAAACAGCCAGAGTTGCAAATTAAGAACTGAACCAAATGTGTGTTGGGGTAAATGAACTGACATTCCTGGGAGATGTTCATCTGCACAGAGGGAGTGATCTTTGACCAGAGAAAAGCTGAGGTTCTCAAGAATATGCCATGGCTCTAGTCCCCAAGAGATGTGCAGCAGTTCCTGGGGATGGGGAATTATCTAGGGAGATTTATGCTAAATTTGACATCCAAAGCAGCTCCTTTTGGGACACTTTAAAAAGCCATAAATCACTGTCCAGCACCAGCTGAAACATAGGCTTGTCTTAAAACGGTAACTGATGCCAGCCCCTGTGATAAAAGTTCTGACACCCGAGCAGGCCAATCAAGGTCTCACCAGATGCCCTGCAGTCGGGTTCTGCAGAATCACTGCACCCAGCCACGGTAACCAGTGGGCATCTCGTTTGCCTTTCAGAGATTCCATGTGTTTATAGTAGAAATTGACCAAAAACCTCCTACAGCCTTATTTGAGAAACCATAAACTTTGCCTTGCCAATATACTCCCAGTAACAGCAGGACATCTCCTTTGTTGCATAGGCAAGTACTACTTCTCTGAAACCCAAGAAGTTTTCTAATCTTACCTTTGTGACTTCTGACAGCTAGAGAACTGTTCGAATCCCATTCGTAGCTGCCAGTGTTTTGAGCTGGTTTTTGAACCCTCAAGTGGCCAACTACCACATGGTAATGCAGACCATCCGCTGAAATGAAATGAGATCACTTCTTTAAGACTGCTGATCCCAAATCCCTCCACCCGCACACCACATCCCAACTCCCAACAGCATTTCTTGGCAATCACAAATCCCATTTTTATACATCTACATATGTTCTGCAACATCACCACTTGCAGAATCTGCCTCCTCATATTCAAGATCATCATATTTAATTCAAAATGTTTCTAGACCTTATTGTGGAGAAAATCAGAGATCCCCCATGCTCTTCTAAGACATCCTTTAGTTTCAAATCAAAGCAATACAGGGTTGTGGAGTGATTCAGGGCAATTATTCAAGATAATGATTTTGATTTCCTCCTAACAGGAACTGGAATCTTGGCACAGAACTGACAAGTCTTGCTATGACCAGTTCAACTAACACCCTGTTCAATTTTCCCCACAGGAAGGAAGACTTTGACATTATTGACAATGATACCTTTCAGATCTCTCTTGTGACGAGATCCAGAGGTCTGGCATACTGACTCACAACAGCTGCATACAGAACTGGAGGGATCATCTAAGAGTTCCCACCTGCAAGAGAAGAGATAAGTCCAGGCATTCCTTATGGCATGGCACGCAAGTTCGAGTAATGCTTCAGGTTCGATACACGGCAGCAAAACAAAGCTTTCATAGTGCTTTCTAGGCAAAGTCTTATCTGTTGGTTCTATTGCTTCAGTCCCACCTGCATACATCAGGCTAGATGAAACGACACTGTGGTCTCTTATGGACGTATCAAGTCATATTGCCATGGCAGGCAGGAAATTTGCTTTGCACTGTTCCACCCCATCCCTGTGTATATATACAGTGGGTCATGGAAGAGTCAACTTTGGCCTTAAAGACAGAACAAGGAAGTCAGCAAGAATACTCCTGAAAAATACTGTTAAGCTTGTTTCTTAGAACCTACATGTAAGACTGAAATTCTGTACTTTTGAACTCATCTGGTAATTGTGTGTGTTTGCTCGGAGTGAACCCCTAGTTCCATGGAATGAGCCCTTGGTCTCCTGCTGCCCTTTACAGAGGTAGGGCATCTCAATTCACTCTCCTTCACAAGAAGGTGGTTTGTTACAACAACCTACCCCTTAAAAGGCAAGCAAGCTACAGCCTGCAGACTACTGTGCTGTTCAGCCTGGCTACTGCAGCTTCATCTATAAAGTTGGCAGGGCTCCCGTGGCATAGTTTGACTCGAGAGGTGAGCTGCTGCCTCCTCTTTAACAAGCTTAATACGTAGAAGGCTTTGTTTGAGGACAAGCAACTCCACACAGGGTTCCTGTGTCATTAACGCACCATTACTACTTCTCTGCATGCGAAGACACTTTACCAGCTGAATTTCTGCCTACTATACAGTTACGTGTCCATCCATCCCATTCCTGGCAGGGTTCTTCCCCTTATGGCCACCATACAACTGTTATACTCTAAAATAGCCCCTCAGGCCAAAAAGTCTACCAATGTTACCTCTTTGTGTCCTTACGAAATGAGCAGGCCTTCTTCAGGGGATCAGTGAGGACTTTTGGGTCCCAAACTAGAACCTGGCAATGTATGTAAATCTGGAAGAAGATCACAGTGTGCATTGGATCAGTTCAGCCAAGTCACAAACTGTATTAGTAAGCTAGCAAGTCATGATCACAAAAAGCTTTAACAAGCCTGGAGCTTTTGAATGGTTCTGGTTAGCAGGGCTATTTTTGGGCAGGAACGCACAGGAACGGAGTTCCGGCTGGCTTCAGAGTTGGCCACGCCCACTACAGCCAAAACCTCTGCCTGCCTGGCTACAGAGGGAAGGCCTGGAAAGTGACTCCCCCCCCCCCGGCGACTCTGAGGCTGGCGAGCCAGGGGCCCCCCTGGAAGGATCGGGGAGGCATTTAAATGTCTCCCCATGCCTTCCCCGGCTTGCCTGGACTTCCTGCAGCTGCGGGGTGCCCAGGCAAGCCAAGGGAAGGCAGTTTAAACTCCCTCCCCTCCAAGGGCCGGCTTGCCTGGACTCCCTGCAGCCACGGGGCGCCCGGGAAAGCCAAGGGAAGGCATGGGGGTGTGGCCTAATGTGCTAATTAGCTGTGCTGTCATGGGTGTGGCCTAATATGCTAATGAGTTTGTGCTGTTGGGTGTGGCCTATTATGCTAATGAGTTCCTGCTGAGCTTTTTCTACAAAAAAAGCCCTGCTGGTTAGTATGGTTGGCGTCTCATTAGTGCAACTGACACAAGGACTGTATGTGGGCCTCAGGGAATGGATTTGCTCCAAGGGTCCACTAGGGAAGGAAGAAGAGCCCTGCTAGGTCATACCAGTGGTCCATCCAGTCCAGCATCCTGTCTTGCACACGGCTGACTGGTTACTATAGCCGGTCAACAACCGGGTTTAGAGGCCAAGGACCTCCTCTGCTGTTGGCTCACAGCACTGGCAGTAAGAAACAGGGAGGGGGAAAAAACAAACTTGACCCAAAAACTGGAATTAAGAGCCACAAGGGTAAGAAGGAAGTCTAATACAAGGCCAATATTAAAAACTATTTGCTTGAGGACACTAGCTTTGACTAAGATAGCCACACAGGTGCTTTTTGGACCTAAAGTAGACGATGTTCTAATTCAGCAGCTGTGCATTTGGCACCAGACACATGACTTTCATCTTTAGAGGCCTCACAAACATCTTTGTCTTGTGTCTTTTGATTTTGCTGCTTAGCCTTCCTTTTCTTGGTCCAATATCAACTTATGGGTTACGTGCACCTCAATATTGTTTGACTTCTGAAGAAGGCCCCCAATAGGGCGGAAACACGTCAGGTCATGTGTATTGGCCCTTGTGTTTAGGCCACTTGTACTTTTTAACGAGGCTTTCATTGGACCCTTATTTGTTTTTAACTGTGTTTCTAATAAATACATGCATTTTTGTATATCACATCACTGGTATCCAGAGCTCTGCTGCCTCTGAAAGTGGAGGCTCTCTTTAATAATTATGAGGAGTGACCACTGATGGACCTATCCTCCACTGAATCTGTCCAATCCTCTTTTACAGGCATCCATGCTGGTGGCCATCACTACATCACCTGGCAGCAAATTCCACATTCTAGTCACTTAGTAAAGTACTTTTTGTCCATCCTGAACCTATAGCCCCTCAATTAAATTGGATACCAGTATTTTGGGAGAGAGAGAAAAGTTCCATCTACTCTCTTCCCCATGCATAATTTCCTAAGCCTCTATCATGATTCATGCCCCCCTTTCATTTGCATTTTTTTCCAGACTGAGAAGTTCCAGTCTCTTTAGCCTTTCCTTGTAGGAAGAGCTCTCCAACCTCTTAATTAACTTCATTGCCCTCTTCTGTATTTTTCCCAACCTTGCAATGTCCTTTTTGAGATATTATGACCAGAACTGCACACAGTATTCCAAATAAGACTGCAGCCTGGATGTATACAGGAGTATTATAATAACAGCATTTTTATTGTCAACCCCTTTCCTAATAAATCCCAGCCTGGTGTTTGCCTTTTTTACTGCTCACAAGCTCCGTTGACATTTTAATTGAGCTATCCAACATAACCAGGCTCCCTTTCCCTCTCAGTTTTAATAGTTTCAGACTCCCATTAACTTAAAGCTGGGATTTTTTGTTCCATTGCCTACCACCTTACTTAGCTACAAGAGGTCTTACCTAGCCAGAGAAGCAAATGGCTTTATGTGAAAAAGGAACCACAGTGTTAGACAGCTCTGTTAGCTGAAGCACCTTTGGGGTGTAGGGTCCTTCTCCTTAGGATCTGATGTGGGGGTAGCAGAACCACAGCCCTTTAGGAGGGCCTCTGTGTTCCACCCCTGCGCTCTGCTTGTGTCTTTGAAAATATTACAAGACTTCTGTTCTGTTGAACCAAATTGCCAATTTATACCGACTCAGCATTTCTTAGCACCAAAAGCTCTTTCACACATTGTAGAAGTCCTGGACCAGCAAACCTAGCTTTCCCCTTTGAGCCCAATACGCAAGGTGAGTATGCCAAGAACACCCTGCTTACAAGACTTCACAGAAAATAGAGCAAGCCCAGTTACCTACATCAGTGTTTATGCCAACAAATCCAAAGGCCTGCAGAGAGAGACGGATCACTTCAGGATCTGGCCTTGGAAGGAAAAAGGAATTTGCTACCATGCCATCCATGAGACACCTGCCAAAGCCCGGCCAAAAAGATACAAGCTTATTAGATACGCAAAACAAGAAAATGCTCTAGATGACACAAGCTTGTATAGCTTTATGGAAAACGTGATGATCCAGGTGCCACTGGGCCTAAAGAATTGATCCTTGCACTCAAGTTGCTGAAGAGGGCTGCAAGCAGGTTATGCTTCTTCCCCTGTGTGCTTCTCTACATGCAGGAGACTCAACTGCACCTTCTCCTCCATTCTCAGCACCCACCACATTTCCCTTATCTTTCTAGCCACCTACACTTAACTGGTATTTGCATGCTTGAAGAAGAAAATGCAGGCTGCAAATAATAAGTGTGGAAATTTAGATTCCAACCAGATATATTATTCCAGCCATATATATTATTCCAGTTCTAGCTACATTAAGAACAGTGGATGCTGCCGAACCAGAGTGCAGCATGCTTGGCAGCCTCACAGCACAATCCTAAGCAGAATTATACCCTTCTGTTTAAGTCAGTGGGTCCAACTCTGCTATGGAAGGCACTGTGAGTCCCATACCAATATCCTTGCCATTCCTAGTAACAAATAGGCATCTTGTAGTGTACTTTCCAGGATCTGCAATGGAGGACCTTGACCTTCAAGATTTGTTGAACAGGCCCTGACCTGGATAGTCCAGGCAAGCCTGATCTCTTCAGATCTCGGAAGCTAAGCAGGGTCACCTCTGGCAAGTACTTGGATAGGAGATCTCCTTGAAATATCAGAGGCGGGAGGCAGGGGCAGGCTTTATTCAGCCACTTCTCTGAATATCCTCCTAGCCCCCAGTAGGGGTCAGTCACCAGAGGTCGCCATGACTTCCAGGTGCGCACACATGAAAAATACAAAATGTGTTAAACAGAACCATTGCTTGTTGCCATTCAAGCAATTCAGCCGTTTCCCTAACCCCGTACTCCAAGTAGCTACAACTCACACTGCTCTGAAATCTCTAGAACACATTTACCCATGGTTAGTAATAATGCTGTAGTTCCTGGGAGATTTGTGAAGTTCTGGTGTGGCAGCAGCTGTGCATTCATCCACAAATACTCGCAGGGGCTGGTGGGCGAATCTCTGTACTGCAAATTCTATATTGATTTGCGAGCCCAGGAGAAAGACCTTCACATCCGAGGGAGCACTGAAGTCCTCTGCAAGGGAGACCAGAGCCAGCACTTTAGGAAAACATGCTCGTTTGGGGACACGGCATACAAATGGAAGAGCATTAAAGACAGGCAATTGTACTTCCATGCCCCCTGCCTTTCCAAGGCAGTTTCAAGTCCACAAAGGATTCCTACTAGCAAATGTTATAGATGGCACAATGTCATAGGTTAGAAATGTGGGATCACTGCAGCCTTGCATGGCCCACCATTATTATGTTTTAAGCTTGTCAAATATACCGAGACACCCCAAGTATGCACATTAGTTGAGTTTTTATCTTCCAGAGACTGAAAATGAAATCTAGCAAGAGCATCACAGCCTTGATGGACCCCAGTATGATCTAGGTAGTTAGTGTTCTTTGCCAGGATACTAAATGGTCAGCAACTAGATCATAAGAAACTGAACAGCGGTCTACAGCTAGTCAACCATGACCTACTTTCCGCCCACCCAACCCAGACAATCCAGAGTCTCCTCTCCTACCCCCCCCCCAAAAAAAACAGTCTCATTGCTCATTTGGATAAGCTATTGAAAGTAGCAATAGCTTAATTAGGAAGAGAAGGATGAGCTATGGGCTACGTAGGTGAAGGAATACAATTCATACTTCACCTGCAGAAGGTCTAATTAAAGCGGATGTCTGGTACCACTACAAGTAGGGACATAGCTCAGTGCTGGAGCACCTCATTTGCATGCAGAAGACCCTAGATTCAGTCCCCAGCATCTCCATTTAAAAGGCTGAGGCAGTGGGTGTAAGACCTTAGCCTAAGACCCCGGAGAACCACTGCCAGCCTGAGCAGACAATACTGACTTTAATAACTATCCCCAGTTCAAGCAGACAGGAGAGACTAGGTGGACCAATGGCCCAAGCTCATAGCAGCTTCATGTGCCACCATTCCAAAGCACCACTGAGCCAAGGAAGAGTTGCACATATTATACATGCTAATTCATGCAAGGAACTTATACCTACCACTATGTGAGGACAGCACATGCCCATTTCACTGCCTTGTATGTAGCAGCAATCTACTGTCTATAAGGGGCATCCCTCATAAGTTGAACAACCTTTGTGTTGATTTGGCTTTTGATATTTGTTAAGGACAGAAAGACTGCTGGGTCCCAGTGAAGCCAGTTTTTAAGGCTGGTGTGTATGAGAGGTTAACACCTGCCCAGGAGTCACATCAAGAACAAACCGAGTCATTCCTGTTTATAGTACTTTGTGGCTTTTGATGAGCAGGGGAGTCCTTTGGTAGTAATTTATTTATTCAATCTGTACCCTGCCCTATCCCACACATGTAGTAAAATAATAAAACAGTCAAAGCAATAAAACAATTGATGGCACGATATACAATATCATCACACCCCATGCCTCCTATCAGGGGAATATTAAGTGCTCCAGTGCCCAATAATAGTAACTTCACAACTTCTCTCAAGGTTTTTGCAATGGTAAATACAGCCATTTAAACCAATGTTGGGATTAGGCAGAGGGAACCCCAACCCCAAAAACTTCATGGCAAAGGCAAGACACTACTTACCATTCATTAGCTTCACAGTGAACATGAGCACACTTGAAGAAGAAAGCTGGCCAGTCACCAAAGTCATCTGTGAAGGAGTCACACTGGCCCTAATGACAAAGGAGAAAAGGCTTATCATTGAAGACTAAACTTCTAGTCTCTTCCCCCACAAGGCAGATTAGCACCACATCCTTCTTCTTACAGACAAGATAAGACAAGATGGAAGAGTGAGGACCTGGCATATTTGAACAATAGCCTTCCACGGACCTTTGAAGTTTTGCTACCAGATGTGTATGCCAACAAATTAAAGAGCTCGGCCATCTTGCCCCATGTGTTTTAAAAAACATTGCCTGAACAGTCACACATTTGTAAATGTATTAAACAAGATATTTTTAGAATGCTAAATTGTTCTTGTATTGGGAAAGATGGCCTCTTTGGTGACGTTACAGGCACCAATCAGTTCTATCAATAACTAACTTTTGCTGCAAGCTCCCAGAACCGTTTGCTCTCCACCAAGGTCAAGGGTGCTTGACTTAACTATTTCCAGGTCAGGCCCTCTGCTCCACTAGCACTAGATCCATCTTCACCCAAGGAGTGAAATACCCACACAAGAGGCTTACTCATAGTCAGTGCAGTTTATCCTCTCAGCAAAAGGGTTGCCGTAGAACCTGCCTTGGAGGGATGGAGGCCTGTAGACCAGGTTGGTGAGATGCTCAACCATTTTGCCAGATTTCTGCAGAAAAATCACACAGATGAGGAAATTAGCTGAAGCTCCAAGATAAAGCTTTTCAGCTAGGCCTCTATTCAGGACCAGTCATTTGTTGTCACCAGCTGCAAAGGTCTCTACTCCCTCTTCCTCCACATACCTTAACTCCTACATCAAACCCCTGTGACCCACACTTTGGACAGGCTGCCCATGATCAAACTTTTGGTGCTTTAGATAATGATTTGTAAACACTACTAAAGTCTATTCCGGGAGAGGAGAGCTTTGCAGTAACTAAAAGGGGCAGCAGGTCAGCAAGATATCTTGTGTGTCAGCAAAAACAGACCCGCTCAGGACTCATCAGAAGTCTTTGCGGTGACCCCAAAGATTTTATAACACATGAACCAGCCTTATATAAATCCCACACGTGATACACCATGCTGGGTTCTACCTGACTGCCAAATTGGTCCAAGCCTAGCAATGTTGGTGCTTGGGGGGGGGGGGTCAACAGTGGGAGGGCTTCTAATGTCCTGGCCCCACTGGTGGACCTCCTGATGGCACTGGTATTTCTGGCCACTGTGGGATACAGAGTGTTGGACTGGATGGGCCTTTGGCCTGATCCAACATTGGCATCTCTTATGTTCTTATGTTCTTAATGTTTGGGCACTAGTATACCAGTCTACACACTGCTGCTTGCCTTATTTCTCTCAGTGCTAAACTGTGCCTTGAACACTCCACATGACAGAAATTAGGAGTCTGTAGCCATGGATCAAGGTGTATTTATTACAGGTCTGCTCTTTCGTAATTCAAAATGGTGCATATCAGGGCTTTTTTGGTAGAAAAAGCCCAGCAGGAGCTCATTAGCATAACAGGCCACACCCCTGACAGCAAAGCAAATTAGCATATTAGGCCACACCTCTATGGCACCAGAAGTGTGGTCATCCAGCCACACCCACCTTTTGCTTCTTATTCTGTTTACCTTGTTTGTTGTCAAAACTCAGGGCTTTTTTTGGTAGCAGGAACCCTTTGCATGTTAGACCACACACCCCGAATGTAGCCAATCCTAATGAGTTTCTGCTGTTGGGTGTGCCCTATTATGCTAATGAGTTCCTGCTGGGCATGGCCAACTCAGGAGCCAGCTGGAACTCCGTTCCTGTGCGTTCCTGCCCAAAAATAGCCCTGGTGCATATTATTTGGGTTTTGTTTTAATAGCCTGGCACTTGAGGGGAATGACAAAGCTCTGAGGAGCAGTACATTCTTATGGCCATTGTCTGCTTCTAGAATGGTTCCCACTGCACCCTCCTGGTTAGGTGAGGGGTTGAAACCCATGCCTAATTCCTCCTGTATTACATGTCTGCCTAGGTTGTCAACTCTTCTGAGCAGGGGTCCTTCCTTAAACCACCATTTACTTTGGGCCATAATCAGCGCTTGCAGGCAATGAATTTTTATAGGGCATGCAAAGCAGCTGGAGAATTTGCAGCCAGGATTTATACACAGAAAACCTATCCAGGCTCTTACTTATATTTTGCTTGCTGGTCACAGGGGACCTTGCCAAAAGCAGCTTGTAGAAGCAGAACAATAAATTGCACCAAATAAAACACTCATACATTTGAGGTCCAAGTCCTTTATTTCTAGCAGTCTGCTGCAATCCCGAAAACCAATTGGAAAGCAGCATTCCCAGGCCAGAATGAAGTGCTTGGTGAAGCTGTCCAAATGCATAGTAGGTAGGGTTGTCAACCTCCAGGTGGTGGCTGGAGGTGACAGATCTGTTCACCTAGAGAAAGCGGCCGCTTTGGAAGGTGGACTCTATGACATTATACCCCATTGAAATCTCTCCTCTCCCCCAACCCTGCCTTCCTCAGGTCCTACCCCCAAAATCTCCAGGTATTTCACAACCCAGAGCTGGCAACCCTAGTGGTAGGCCCGGAACACTCACCAGCCGTGCAAAGCCACACTCCTTGAAGTAGTACTGGAAATGGAAGAAACCTTGGTGGCTATTCTCAAAGGAGGAAGGGCAGCTTCCCAGGCTCAGGAACTGTGGATTGAGCTTGAGGCCAGTGTTCCAAGGGTCTGTCTTGACAACCAAATGGATGCTAGTTCTGTTGCATTCATAGAACACAGAGTTTGCAGGCGCTGAAAGGGAGACGAGTCAAGAGCAGAGATGTACACAAAGATCTGCGTATGAACGACACCAGCCAGGTGATGATGGCCATGCTATCGCATGCCAGCAGAACAGAAGACACTCCAAGAATCTCTTGCAGTTTTTAATTAGAGAAGCAGGATATTTTCTAAACTCATGTGAGTCAGCTTAGATAGCACAGGTGTGACATGGTTGACAGTGCTGGAGGAGAGGGAGGACAGGGCAAGACAAAGCCAGGAAGGGACCTCAGCCAATTAATAACATTAAGCTGTTTTCTGAGACAGCATGTCTTCCTAAAGTAATACCTGCACACAGTACCCTGCAGAGGAGCCATTGGCCAGTGTCCTTCCCATCGGCAGAAGTAGTTTTCTTCCACCTTCTTGCCCGGTTGCGAGATAAAGGTTTTCCCAATAAAACTGATAGAACAGAATTTATTTTTAACTGCAGCATCTTTTATGGAAAAGGAGTTTACTTTGCTGCACTCTGCAACCCTTTCAGCACCTGGCTTAGGGCACCATGCTAATGTTGCCAAACTCCAGGTGGGTCTAGTAACAAATAAATATACACTGCAAAAACCTTTTAGCAAACTAATGTGTTCTATTTATGGTCGTCATTTAGTAAAGTGCATACTGTTATCATTATTTCATCCTAGTCAGGTATAAATATTCATTACATTCAATAACATTCAATACATACAGACTCCTAACTACCAAACAATTTTGCATCCGTGTTTTAAAAGTCAAGCCCCAACGGGAGTTTCTAGAATTATAAGCCTGCTTCTCCTTGCATGAAGTCTTCCAAAAAGGGGGAACGAGCCTTTTTGTATGGATGCTTTTTCCCGGTCCTACAAAAGACACATTATGCAGCTAACGTTCATGGACGGAGTACTCCTGTCATTCTCAAAGCTGCAGCTCCGTCCATAAATGTTAGCTGCATAATGTGTCTTTTGTAGGACCGGCAAAAAGCATCCATGCTTATTTTATTTTTATTTATTTATCTTTAAATTTGTACCCCGCCCTCCCCGAAGGCTCAGGGCGGCTCACAAGGGGCACGAATGCCCAAGTTAAAACATTAAAACAGTACAAATGTAATTATTGAATGTAATGAATATTTATACCTGACTAGGATGAAATAATGATACACTACGCACTTTACTAAATGGTGACCATAAATAGAACACATTAGTTTGCTAAAAGGTTTTTGCAGTGTATATTTATTTGTTACTAGACTCTCCTAACACTGCAGCTCGGGTTGCTTCAACCTCCAGGTGGGGCCTGGGGACCTCCCACTGTTAGAACTGGTCTCCAAATTACGTAGATCTGTTCCCCTGGAGAGTGCACCATACTGAGGTCCTTCTCCTCCTCAAATCCTGCCCTCTCCAGGCTCCAACCCAAAAACCTACAGGTATTTCCCAACCCAGGGCTGGTAACCCTACACAACACTGAGGGGCAAGCAGAGCCTCCCCCCAGTCATTTCAGCTCAGAAAGACAGTGCAGGAAGGAGACCATATCCAGTCCAGCCATGGGCCAGCACTTGGGAACATGATTTCCCCAACACTGAATGGGATGCGAGGCAGCCCAGCTCAGGCCCCTCAACTCATCCCATAAAGCTTATGCCTCGCAGCAAGGGTTGCCGATGGGAGGGTTTCTCCCCCAATTTTGGGGGCCCCAATCCTCCACCAGCTTGCTGGCCAGCAGGGGAGCCCCACACCCGACATGCCTGGTACAATGCTATCACCTGGAGGTGACATCATCACATCGGGCTCCAGCATTTGGCCAAAAATTCTATGGTGACCATAGAGCTAGAGTCATAGCTCCATTCCTTCTCAGAAGATCCTGGGAGCAGCATGGAGCCCCCCACTGGCAGACAGTAAGCACCTGGCAACCCTACTTGCAGCACAGGCCTTTCCCTAACACCACAGCAGTTTTCTCTGCTTCCCTTGATATTTCTTCAGCCGCAATTCAAAAGAGAGGTGGCACTAGCCCTTTTAATCCCTCAGGTCTTTCCCTGGGCACATGGATCCCACACCCTAACCCAGAGGTGTCGAAATTTGTTACGAGGGGCGGATCTGACATAAATGAGACCTTGTTGGACCGAGCCATGTGTGTCATTAAATGTAATGCCAGGTAGTAGAGATATGAACTTTATAAAAGACACAAACACAAAGGGGTTTTTCTTACTTAAAATAAAAACATGCTTAAAACATTAGCACTCTTGCAATATTTTGTTTATTTAACAGTGTCTGATAACTGACACCTGTTGCTCTGAAGTATTGCATCAAAATGTCTGTGCTGTTGTGATCTTGAGTATGCTGTTCAGGTGTGTATCTGTAAACTGCAAACCTACAATGACGCAGCAGCAGCAGAACTGTAAAAAGAAGCAGAAGACAGCCAGTTCTACTGTGGGCCTTATAGAAGCCCCCCGGGGGCATCATCTGGCCCCCGGGCCGCATGTTTGACACATTGGTCCTGCCCTGGGTAGGCCCACACCTTGCCAGATTTGTACCTTTTAAAAGCTGACAAGGCACACCCATATCCAATGTCACCCAGCTGCACACATCCACATGGGAGTAATCCCTTCCACATTTTAAGGCAGAGGTGCCAGACTCATTTGTTACGAGGGCCAGATATGACATAAATGTCACTTTGTCCAGCCAGGCCCAACGTGCCATAAAATGTAATGCCAGGTACCAAAGATATAAACTTCATAAAAGACATAGGCAAACCCAATTAACAATATTATTATTATTTTACTCAAAATACAAACAAAAACAATTTCACTGGCAGTGATAGCAACTGACCAAAGTTAGAGTTCAGTGGCACCTTTAAGAAAGCAATAGATTCACTGGGGAGCCCACAAAAGCCCCAATAAATGTATTTAATAATATACAAGATTAGGTTTTTCCCAAGGGATACCATAAAACAGGAGCATTTTATATTTCCATAAATACCAGTTGCTTACAGGCCAAACAAGAGCGGGGGGGGGGGGGGGCATCTTCTGGCCCTCAGGCCGTATGTTTCACACCCTTGTTTTAAGGAGCTTGGATCATAAATCTTCAGGAACAAAAAGACCTCAAGAAGCTCAGCCCCTTCCCACCACTACACTTCACATCCCATCAAGAGAAATGAAGGAGAGAAGTGAATTGGCTACAGTTTGCAAAATCCTTACTTCAAACAGGCATCACCAGAGCCAAACAAAGCAGAGACTTACCTCTTTGGGCACCAGCAGCCTTTATACTCCAGGCAAAGAGAACAACAACCAACCCCTCCCACAGCCTCATGGTGACACCCCTGCCTTGCAAGACTGCTGGAAGGAACCACCTTCCCAACCGGAGGCGCATCTAATTATAGCTTCCTTCCTTCTCAGAGTTGCTTAAGGCATGCTCCAGGCCACAGGTGATTGGGATTCCAGCTGATAAACCTTCCTCATCAGCAAGTGGCTGACGCCAACCTCTCACAGGCGGTCTCTCAAAAGTAATCAACAAGGAAGCTTATGAGCAAAGGGCACCAACCAGAGGGTGGGGCCAGGCAGTACAGACCAGTGGCTACAGCACTGACATTGGAGCTGGGTAGAGCTGCCAGCTTTACAACCGTCTTGATTTAAAAACAGCTTGATATACAAATATTAGCTGGTGATAGTCTCTCTTGTGAAGTGCATCAGTTGCTGTTGTTTGCAGCTCCGAGGTGCTGTTAAAGGCACAGGAGCAGCCTGATCTGTTTCTTTTCTAAACCCATCACTGGCTACTTTCCAGTACAGGGATAATGCACTGCCTTATTAGTTTTTAACATTGTGTTCACAGAATGCTCTCATGAGAAGTGGGGGTATTATTTATTTTCTGCTAAGAGAGAGCTCAGACTGTCGTAGAAGACACTACTCTATATAATCATAGTGACTGGGCTCAGTGATCAAGGGACTCCGGAGGCATGCAGGAAAATATAACTTTGTAAATTTAGCCACAGAACGCAACAGACTGATGAGGACCAAATATGCTCCAGGAGGCACCAGACACTGAAAGTAGTTGAGAGTCAGTTAAAAGGGGAGGGGAACAGAAAGAATAAAATGAATTGGCCTGCTCAAGCTCTCGATTGCTTAGAGAATTTTGGTGGTGGAAATTTAGGTATGTGTGGGAAATTTCCAAATGTTTATCCCCCTCCTCAAACCTGCAACTTCTTCTGGGCACCTAGAATCCTACTTTTTAATTCCAAATTGGTGCAGATGGGTTGCAGTTGCTCATTACTGAAAGGTAATCATTTTGCACATGCTCAGAGATGTTGTTTCTTACGACAATACTTACTCTTTGCTTACTTCAGTGGCCCCAATGTCCTGTGGTATTTTGCTGTACTCTTCTTCTAACTGGTATTTGGGGAAGATGGAATACTTGGATTCTGCCCACTTTCTACTCTCTACTGCTTTCTGGAATAATAGCCTTGTTGGTGAATTTGTTTATTTATTGTGTTATTGGGAGTGCTTCACTAGTCACATCAAACATGGTTGGTCATTTAATCAATTGGTTCAGTGTTCATTAATGAAGGATAGATCTGGAAAGAATTGTTGTATTTTAAAACAAGGAACAATAGCTGGAATTGACAACATCATATGCACAAAACCAGTGTGGTTTACCATAGAGTTTGGGGTGAATTCTAGAATGTCCCATGACAAAATGACATCACTTCCTGCTACATAGAAAAGGGGAAATGCTTCTAATGTGGGCAGGACAAGGAAAATCCAGACTTTCCATACTGTAATGTATCCAGTCCGGACAAGTCCAGAGACAAACGCCGAGCTTCGCTCCAAGAGACAATGGACTATGCAGATCCTAGCCCGGTCCAATCAGGGGGCTAGGTTCCCGGCCGAGAGCCTATGGGACTCTCGGCCACTGTAAATAACCTATAGGGAAGTAGGGGTGTGTTTTGGGTGGCGGTTTCTCGGGGGATATAAGCCAGCCTGCGAGCTGGCCAAAGTCATCTTGTTCCTGACCGAATAAAGTACGCTTTGCTGAAATCCCTCTCCGTCTGCGTACTTTTCACATACCATGGGTACCACCTAGGCAGCCTCGTCTGCTGCTGTCACTCCAAGCAGCGGTGGGAGAAAACAAAACACAGAACAGTGACAGCAGCTCCATTACGGTTTCACTTCTGGGGAAAACCTGAAAGTGACATTAAGGCAGTTATTAGGGTTGCCAGCCTCCAGGTGCTGCCTGGAGATCTCCCGTAATTTACAACTGATTCCCTGATTACAGAGATCAGTTCCCCTGGAGAAAATGGCAGCTTTATAGGGTGGACTTTATGGCCTTATATATCAATGAGATCCCTTCCCTTCCCCAGGCTCCACCCCCAAAATCTCCAGGTATTTCCCAACTCAAATTGGCAACTCTAGACTACCTCTAGAAATTACTGGAATTTCTGGCCGTTCCCAGAGCTACCATGTTTTCTGCAGAAGTAATGTTGTGATGATGCTGATCACTCATTCCCGTTTCCCACGCCCCCAGCCCTCCCTGCCAGTTGCCAGGTTTGGCCTGGCAACCATTGCCACTCCAGCTTTGCCATGACCTTTCCCAAAACACCACAGCAAAGGAGGTTTGGGAAAGATGGGTTAACCCTGGGGTGTGCACAAAAGCAGGAAGATGCTGTGGGGAAGCGGGTGTGTGTGGGGGGAATGCTTCCTTGTAGCATCCAAGCCAAGGTAACCAAGCCATGTGAAAGTGATCCAGGGTCCTCATAAGGCACTGACTGGTTAGAGTCAGTCATACACAGCCTCACATCTGGGCAAACATGGCTGATTTAACCTGAGCCCAGATATCACATCTCACCTCCATTCCCCCGCCCCACTCCTCAAGTGGGAAAGAAGAGGCAAGTCTAGTAAGAGCTGTAAGGCCTCTGTATTGAAAACATTCCAATATACATTATATTTATTTTACAAAATTATGGCAATTTTATTTGCCTTTACAAACTGAGAAGAACATTACACACACATTTCAAGTTAATAAGAATATTATAGGCAGATGTGTATAAATATGGAGGTACCCACACATCCAACTGTGACACGGAAGAGAGGAAGTCCCTTTAAACAACTGCACCCAACCACAGCATGCATGGAGAAGGACGCGGAGGGGCACAAATCCCACCATATATTTCTTTAGGGCACTCTTGATACCAGGATGAGAGCTGAGGAGTATCTAACCGACATACTTCCCCATGAAGCCTGTTCGCAGGGACTAGCCTTGACAGCATCATCTTAAGCGAAGGCCTCCAATACATACACTATCTTTAGTGAACTGAGAAAAGTTAAGCTCATGGAGTTTGCCTCTTGGTTGTTTTGACTCCTGCTTGGTTGCAGAGCCTGCCCACTGACCTTCAGGCTCAACGGTCTGGGAGCCCGACTCACAGCTTAGCAGTTGCAAAGGTGGGATTCCCCAAAATGCAACCTGCTAGCCCTCTTCTTTTCCACCCCAACAGTCAGTGAAGGATCTACAAATGGCCGCCATCACCCACAAAAATGGTGTGTCCTTTGTGAGGAAAGTGCCGACTCATCCCAGTGAGGGGGTTATTCTGATCCAAGTTCTCAAGGGACAAAGAGCATTCCCTATGCTGGAAATGGTTCAGTGTTAGATTACTTAGGGATTTAGGTGTGGAGCTGACTCCTTCCTATGGAATTTGGCGCTGCTCCAAGGTCCACATACTCCTTGCATCAGTTAGCAGCTAAAGCTTGGACTAAGTGAGAGCCAATTTGAGGCTGAGGTTCACACTTTCCTTTTCGCATCATGTGACTCCCTGCAGGTTCACTGGCTACCTCTGCATTCCACTGGCTGACTGAGGTATCCAAAAGGGATGAATTGCAGTTCCAAGCTCTGATATACTTCTTGAGATGGAATCTGCTGATTTCCTTTGCTCCATCCAACCCAGGAGGAGCCCCTATGTCAATCAAGATGGCAGCTGCTGCCAGAATGTGCTCCCCTGGTGTCCCTCCTCCTGTTCTAGTTGGGTGCATCCAACCACAGCATGCATGGAGAAGGACGCGGAGGGGCACAACTGGAACAGTTGCACCCAACTGGAACATTCCCTCCTCTTCCCTTGCTCCTTTTGTGACCTGAGTCCTCCCTCTATGGATACTAGTTTTCATCAGATCCCACCACTGGTGGATGACATGTCCTCTCTGAGGACAGAAAAATTTGGATCCTCAAACCAGTGAAGCCATTAGCTCTGTTTGGGAAACGGACGCAGATTATATTCTGCTGCACATGGACCAACCCACAGAGATCTAAAGAAGATGGCTCACTTGGGTAATGATACACACAGACACATATGCATAGACATGTCCTAGGCACAGAATGCTAACCTGAGGTCTTGCATCTAAATATTAAAGGTACCTATAAACCCATATTCCTCAACATGCCCCACTCATAAAAGGCCAAGTTGAAGGCACTCAAACAAGAATTTCTGTTCCGCCTTTGTGTAGTTTGACTGTACTAAGTGGGGAGATGATGGGCCTCAGTCCTCAGGATCATTCAGTGGGCATTCACATATTTAGTTTTCTGTACCATTGCAAACAATGCAAGTACTGAAGCAGCTTAAAAATAAATACAAACATATTTATAAGAAGTACTAAGCAAATTTTTTTTTGAAAAAGTTGCACTCTTATGAATAAAGGAAAGGCAGCATAAGCAGATGAAACCACACAGACATACAAATACTGAATTGCTAGGAGCAGCTGATGCTGATAACTCAGCCTACAATTCAGTAGTATCTATCAAACATAGGACTGCTCCAAATTAGTTATCTACAAGCACCATAGATTGATTAAAAATATAAGTCTGCTAACAGCTGACCATGATGGCTGTTTTTCACCCCGTACATAAGGGGGAGTTGTGACAGTTCAGGTGGCAGACCTTTCCCATCATGGGCAGTTTTAATGGAAAGAAAGAAAAATTATTTATGTTGCCCTTGGCATGCATTTAGCCTACAGACAGCCTAAATGAACTGTCCACAGGGTCACATGAGAGTCAGTGCAAATTCTGGTTCATAGCGCAGACGGAGGGTTGCCTCTTGTATGCATCTCACACAGTGTGATGTGTGCAATTCTGAATGGATACATAGGCAGATTTGAGCACACTGGTGTGAAATGCACAGAGATGCCAGAAATCGTACTCACACTCACCCCTTCAGCAAAACACTGCATTGATTCAGTCTTAGGAATGAGCTTCACAAATACAGCAAACAAAATGCCACCCTTAAATATTTGTGTAGGAGCTTAACCTATGAGTGCAAAGACACACAGAGCTCATATGCTCATGGCAATATGTCATTCTTATATCTACAGTACAAACTTTTCACCATTTTATGCTGGTTCAACACAGCCCCCCCCCCCCCCCCGGGGAATTCTGAGAATTGTGATCTGTGAGGATATAGAGACATCTCTGTTAGAGTTCTCTAGCTCCTCTCAAAGTACTACAGTTCCCAGGATTCCCTGGGCAGAGGGCAGGGATTACCCCATTTCAAGTTTCTACTGTAGCTCTGCCCATAGAACATATGCAAAAACTGGGCCGCAGATTTCACTGTGCAGCTTGCATCTGCTGCCCTGTCAATATCTCTCTCCATCTATCATTATGGGCAAATTACTCAAGTGCTAACATGCCTCTTTAGAGAGAAATACCCATTGACAAATATTTGAGAATCTTCACATTCCTCCACACCATCTTTTCCTTCCCACCCATTCCCACCCCCAACTGCCCCAATGCGCCTGTGAATTAAAAAACAGGGTGGCAACTCAGCTACTACTTTTGCTGTCCCGAAGAGTTTGAAACAGAAGTTCTAAAGGAAAAGGGGAAAGTTCTAAAAAGCTAGCAAAATACTGTAGCTGGCAAAAGTGTCTTTGTGTTGTTGCCCTTTGTGTTCCCTCTGCTCTTAGCTAAAAGCAGGGAGGCTGGCTCAGCTATTTAGACTACACATTGCAGCACTGGAGTGCCCTCTGCTGCGGTCTTGCCTATACCCCAGTTTCCTTCCTGTCGGAGCCTAGGTCAAAATAGGTGACAAATAGATCCATCCTTTATTACTGCCCTAGCTACTGGCTAGGCCCTGGTCATCCCTTCCCTCCTTTCTTGCCTATCCAGGTCCCCAGGTGAATGGGATGGCTCACTCAAAATCACTGCTCCTTTTTAGAGTCTCAAGCCAGTCCCACATGTCCTGGTGGCCCGTGAGCCGTGTTCAACCAACTGATGAAAAGAAGAAGGACAACCACCTGGTTGTCTTCCTGGATGGAGGAGAAGGTGGGAAGTGGAAATACAGATTGTGCACCCGCTACCACTTGAGGAACACCCGCACCCGGCTCCATAGCTTAGTGATCCAGAGGCTGGCTCCCAGGTCTGACATATACTGGATCTCAGGTGTCAACATCTTGCGGCAAAGCTTGCGATGCTTCTTGTTGATCCTCTTTTTCAGATTGTAGCCCAGGATAGTCTTCTCACCCAGTGGCTGCCACGGTTGCATGGAGGATTCCTGGATGGCATTGGCATCCACAGGGTGTCCCCCATCGATGCAGATGCTCTTCATCTTCTCGTTCTCTTCATGAAGTTTGGCCACGTCCCTGGCCATCCGTTCTCGGCCATATACTTCCACTTTGTGCCAAAAGGTAGCGTTGAAATACTGGTAGAGCTTGGCATCTATGTGATTCCATGCTGTGGCCTTCTGGTAGAGTTCATCAGTCAGTCTGGAGACTGTAGAGTCTTTCCGAGCATTGAGCTTGAAGTAGAGGATATCCTCCAGCTCCCAGCACAGCAAGTCCTTCAGAAGCACTAAAGATTCATCAAAGTACTCCAACAGCATGACCAGATGGAAACGTTGGTCAGTCTCATGGATGTACTGGTCAACCAGGGGGTTGTCGGCATGCATGTTGTTGTCATAGCCCAAGTCAAAGAAAAGGATATTCTGGAGGTAGTGAGCATTGAACCCATTGGGATCATAATAATGCTTGGGGTCACGCAAGAATTCAGCCAGTTTATCCTCACCTGACAACTTCCAGGTCAAAGGAATCACACGTCCAAAGTAGTGGAAGGAAGACTCAAAGAGGTAGGCAGGGTCCCGCAGCACTGTCACATAGGTGGTGTCAGCTGGCAACAGTTTACGCACCTCCTCGTACTGAAAGCGCATGTGATTACAAATGATATTGAAGCACATGCCGGGCTGGTAGCCATGCACCTGGCTACGTTCAAAGTAGGATGGGTAGTAGAAGTCATTGCGACCGTTAGGAAAGGCAAACTTGAGGCGGTGCTTCTGCCCAAAGCGGAAGAGGATGTTGAGGATGGTGCTGCTGGCCGTCTTGTGGGTTTTCATGAACATGATGTTCAGTTTGGGAAGACACTTCTGTCCTGGTGGATTATGGGTGCTGTTTGCTGAAACAGGCCGTCGGGTTCGGGCAGAGTATGAAGAGCATGAGTAAGGGATCGGGATCCTGGGAGAAGAAACACACACCTGTGAGTAAATGGGATCCTTCCCAGAGATAAGGCGCCAGCCTACCATTTTTAACCTACAACATTAGCTGAGCAGCAACAATAGTGGGATGGATACAGCATAAGCAATTATGCCTTTTTCATAATGCCTTCAGTGCCATGTGGAAACAATTGTCTGTCTTCAGTCTGAAGACACATTCCTAGTAGTGCCTAAAGACAGGGCAGGCTCCAGAGAGTGCTGCAGTTGGGCACTTGCCAGGGTGCCAAGACCAGCCAGGGACTGACTGCCGTTCTCTTGTTAAAGACTCAAAGTAGTCAGAATCAGCACTACAGAATTCCACTGGTATGCCTCTTCCATTTGGGAGGGGGGCCCTACAGAGAAGCTCTTGCTCAAAATGGCATACTCAAAATGGTCAGAGGCATTACCTCTCCATCCCATTATCTCTGCCACTTACCAGACATTATGAAGAAGAGGAGGAGGAGGAAGAAGAAGAAAAAGAAGAAGAGGAAGAAGAAGAATTGGATTTATACTCCAGACAGAAATCAAGTCCAGTCCATTGTGCACAAAAATGGTCTTACTCTCTCTTCATCAAAGTTTCTCCTTCCATTGTTTTATGAAGAGGAATTTTACATTTTGCAACAGAATGAGGTGGAAATGAGATGGGCAGTAGAATGGATGTGTCATTTTGGGTGGGGAAAACTGTGTTCCCCAAACCAAAATCCTACTCCCTGCATATCAAAAGCTAACACAAAGGGAAAGGAACGAAAGTTTCAACCTCAGCCCTCTCATTGTTGCATCAGTTTTCTATTTGCAGGGAGGTTGTTTTTTTTTTAGCACCAGGAATCATTCAAATGTGCCTTCCCCCTGACCTAGAGTCATATGTGCTACAGTTCATTCTACCACTTCAGGACTAGATCGGATATAAATTGTTTTTAAACTCTTCTGTAGAAGATTGATCTGCATGGTGCTCATTTCAAGACACAGGAACAAAAAGGGGGGAAGAAAAAACTTAACCCAAAAAGATGAATTAAAAACTTAGAAGGTTAAATCCAAATCAGCGGGCCCAATCTCTCCCTTATTATATTTGAGTAGTGGGTGCCAAAGTTCTAATTCTAAAATGCACTCCCTTAGTGTATGGCTGATGGAACTGCTCCTCAGCATATATCGCCACCAATCAGAAGACAAAGCCCGGGTCCCGCCCACACCACAACTGCTGCGACTGTGTACCTCACCGGACGCCATTTTCATTTTGCTCGATGAAGAGGATTACGAGGGCACTATTGATTCGGTGAGCTGCCTTCCCCAGCGCCCACTCAAACATGGGCGACGGCGGCAGCCTCCGCTCGCCCGCCTTGCCCCCCACCCGCAATCCCGGCCTGGCGACCGGCCTTCGGGCGATCGCCTCGCTCTCCCTCACACACTCCAGGACCGGCGAGTGGCAGCTCCGGCCTTCGGGAACCCGCGTCGCCCCCCTCACACAGTCCCGGCCCGGCGAAATGACTTGCCCCCCACACTCCCGCCCCCAAATGGCAGCTCCGGCCTCCG